GGAGTTGGCTCACCAGGTGCTTTTCTGACAGGTGATAACATCGCAGGGAACGTGGGACTAAAAGACATTGCAGATTGGAGCCTGACCCCCATATTAAAGGTAGCGAAACCTCTTGGTCCCCTCTGCCAGCTTTATCAAGCGCCGTTTAAGAGGCAGTTAGGGTTCTGGCTGAATTTGCCCTGAAGGTTATTCCAGACCATCTCTGATCTGTAGAAACCCATTTTCCAGCTAAATACTGCTTATGATCCATTTCTATCTGGCGTTTCTTGCGTTAGTGTTGTTTTAATTACTTAATTAAATTTAATTTCTTCCTGATGTTGACCTCTCAGCGGATTTAGGGAGCCCTGCTCTCTACCAGCCTGTTTTTGCGGGCTGAGCCAACCAGGCTTTTAGTTTCTGGTAATGTAGGTCATCCCTTCTGCTGTTTCCACTCTTAGCCCTCCTTTGCACTTCAGTTTCGATTAATCTTTCTTGAGCGTGGGTTCGTCGTGGTATGCAATAGTCCAGATTAGCTCATAGCAGTGCCTTCTACTGTGGCATTTACTACTGCCCTTCCCTCTGCTGAGGATACCAGGACTTCAGTGCTGTGTTTTCTTGCTTTCAAAGTCATACTGCCTGCTTCGGAGCTATTTGTAACTCCGCACTCGCGTCCTCCTCTTTCTGATCGAGCTCTCTGCGTGCAGCAGATTGTTGTCGTTGCGTTTGTAAATACGTGTGTTGAGTTCGCTTGGTGTCGTTGGATCTTGCTTGGTCGTTCAGATCACGGTTAATATTCCGATCCTCCTTTCTGCTGACAGTGCTTCCCCACCCTCCAGCTCGTTATCCGCGTGTTTCGTTAGCTTAACCCCCTTTCTTGTTGCGGAATCCGCTAGGATTCATCCCAAAGTTCAGTCCCCGACAGCTTCCCTTCCCCAATACTCCCCATTTCAGCGCAATCCATCGCCATTCTTCATCTTGCTCTTTTTGCACTCATCTCCCATTATTCCACGCTTAGGCCTAGAGATTTTTTAGGGGTGGTTTATTAACACCTGGACAGTACCCGGTCTGCATAATTTGTTCTCAAGGGCTGAGATCGTCTGGGGAAAAGGTTCATTACTCCCACTTCGCAGAGCCAAAGTTTGGACACGCGGTGCAGGTGTCTTGTTCTGGTAGAGGTGAGACCAACTACCCCAGCCTTAGGCTTTCTCCAGGAAAGCCCTCCTCTAGTTGACAGGCGGCTTTTGCTCTCGGGCTGGTCACTCGCGTAAAATTAGGAGGTTTTAATAACAAAATTCTGTTTCAATATGTAGTTGGTTTTCTCCACAACCTTGGGAAATCCTCTTTACCCCTCAGAACCTGCTGATGTGACCAGGGCGGGCAGTATTGGGGTATAAATGTAAGCACTCTGATCCTTAATTTGTTTGCTTTATGACTTTAACATCAGTATATGTCTCAAAGCTGTGATTCCCGATACTTCTGGGTGGGATGTGTGACGGGTGCGTGCTGGGGACTGATGGCCGTGTGCAATTAGATACGTATTTACGGTGGTGCAAATAGGTATTTTTAGGATAAACTCTGTTTTGTCAGCAAGTAGGCTGTTTATGCTCAAGCAGCTTAGTTTAATAGGATGAGCCAGCATCAGTTTCTTTCCTAAACATACGAATGCTGTGAACTGTCTTCCGCCCTGATAAATAATCCTTTTTCTCTTCTTAATGCAGGATAAATAGCTGTTGTCTTAAGTTTTGTGGAGTTTGTCTTTCGTGTTAGGCTTTCTCCACCTGTACGTGTGCACTCTAAGCAGCAGGTAGGATAAATGTGTGTAATCTCACTTAGGTGACGATACCGGTGCTGGTGCTTTCTGGTAAAGCAGGTTATGCGCTTTAGGAATGAAGATAACTTTCTGTGGCTTTTGAATTATATTCAGGACACCTGTTTAAAAAAAAAAAATAAATTCTAGAACAAGAGATGATCAATCTCCTATTCCCATTTTTTTGGTAGCTCTTCCTCCTGGCCTGTCCAGCTGGAAAAGCAAACCTAGCTGTCCTGAACTCCTTGCTGAATTCCACAGATGGAGGTTAGTGGCAGCCGATTTAAAAGAGACGACTGAATTGGGGAGGAAAAATGGGCCGTAGGCTAGAAGACTAATCTGAAGATTTAAAATCCCTTCCTTTTGGTCTTGCAAGCATTAAATTGCGGTAAAGGAGTTTAAATTAAAAATGGATAGCCTGCTTTTTCAGTTGCTGCTGGATACCTCAACTCCTAAGAGGCAACCTCCGTTCTCTCACTAAGGAATATCTTCTTAACAGCCCTCGCAGATATTTCCTCAGGTGTGTACAAGTATATAGCATTAAAATGAGCTGGAAAATACTTATTTCTTCCTCCTTTTGCATCAGAAACCGCCCGCTTTCTTTTGCGAGAGCATCCCTCCAAATAATAAAGCCTAGCTCTTGAATTATGGGCATGACCCTTTTTCAGGTAGGGATCTTCCACTGCTTGCGGCTGGAATAAACGATGCCCAGCCCAATGTTTTTTTTGGTTTTTGGGGTTTATGTAGCCAAGTGCAGACTCTCTATACGTGCAGGCTACAGGGCTTTACATGGGAGTGACCTGAAATAGAAAGTGTGGTTATCGAAACCAGGAGACTCAATCGCTTCGAGGGGGCAGGACGACATTTCTTTTCTCTTAATTTCTCTGGTAAAGAAAATCAGCTGCTTCTCAGTGTTTCTTTTTGAAGGTGGAAAAGACTGCTTAGGTCTAAAATGGAAGACAGTCAGGCTTTGCCGATTCTTTCCAAAGCTGACGGGAGGTTTCTGGAAAGAGGGATTTAAAAATGAAACACATCGAAATATAAATAAGTTGAGCTGGATTTCACCTGGTACAGAGCGTTGCTTTGGGTTGGCAGCTGGAGCACTGGGTTGGGGCTGTTCCTCTGCGCTTCAGGGCACGTGTGGATGGATTCGGATTGGATCCATCGATTCGGATTCATCGATTGGACTCGATGACCTTAAGGGTCTTTTCCAACCTTAACGATTCTAGGATTCCTCTGGGAGATGCTCCCTTGCTTAAAATACACGGATGAATGATTTTTTTGCAATGTCATTTAGTCTTAATTTATCACTTGTGGTCCGAAGCGCAGGAGGCAAGCCCCTCCGGCAGGAGCGGGCTGCTTCGGGAAGGTGGAGGGTTAACTGGCAGCCAGACCTACAGCAGCTAGAGCTGCTCCTGGCAGGCTTTAAGTCCAGCTTACACGGCTGTCCTCCTGCAGAAACATTTCTTGCAACTGGTACTAAATTGCGTTTTGGAAGGGGGTGGCTGCAAGTCGGACCAGTGATGGCCTGGGATTTCAATTAGCGGTTACGCTCTTTTTAATGAAGGAGCTGAAGCTGGTTGAGTTGGATGAAATTCCGCAGGATTTCCTCGTCGTCTCGAGAATCCGTGCAAATCTGCCTCACGCGGCGTTAAGGGATGTGTCAGTGGCACTTGTGCTTTGCTGAGCAAAGCAGAGAGCAGTCACTATCTGTAATTAGTGGCTCTCCAATCACGTTATCAAGCTGTTGACTGGAAAATATGATTTATCTCCTAGGTTTTCTTGTTATGAGCTAGCAGGGGGGTTTTCCGCTGGTCCGGAAAGATTCAGAACGGTGAGGCAGAGCTCTCGGTTAAGACCACGAATATTTCTTAACTGACCTTTTAAAAGGCTGCCTTGACAAATAATTCACTCCTCGGGGATTCTTCGTGCTCGTTTTTCTACCGAGGTGAGCCCTTCTGAGATCAAAAGCTCATCTATTTTGAAGCCCAATAATAAATTCCCACGCTTCAGGGGTAGTAGTAGGCGGCATCGCCTTTTTTTTATTTAATAGAAGCTTAAATAGAAACGGGCCACGGTGCAAAGGTGGAAACGTGCTTGGAAAAAAGAAGCAAAAACCCGAGACAAGTGCTTTTGGGGTGTTGTAAAAGTTTAGTTCTCGCTCTGTCTTCATTCCGGAGGTTTGAAAACCTCGCTTCGTGTGCACGGTGTGTGCGCGTGGCTGTTTGCGCCCTTCTTGCCATGGGATGTAATGCTTAAGGTAGGGGTTTGGGGTGGGTTGTTTTTTCCTTTCTCCGTTTTTTCCTTCTCCTGACGGAATTATTCCCTGTATTTACAGGCTACATCCAGAAGATAAAATCGGGAGAAGAGGATTTTGAATCTCTCGCTTCCCAGTTTAGCGACTGCAGCTCGGCAAAAGCAGGAGGCGATCTGGGTGCGTTTGGAAGAGGTAAGTCGAGCTCAGCCTGGCAGCGTGAACGCCGGATCGAGATTACAGGGTTGATGCTGATCTTCTTGGCAGGGGGTGGGCTTTAATAACGCACCCCGCTGCTGGGGGAATGAACGTGAAAATGGATTTATATGCTAGGCGGCCTGCTGTGCAGGAAATGTAGTTTGATGCCTAGAAGTTAAACCAATTAGGAATGCAACCATAATATTATTCTAGGCAGAGAGGCGATGTTGTGCAAATGCCCTTCGTGAAATTGGCTTTTCCCTCTGGAAAAGGATTTTCCAGCTACACTGAATGGAAATCCAGTTGCACAGGGTAATGAGCCATGAATAAGGAAGAAGCAGATAAGTCTTGCTAACGGCGTGCCAGATAAATGATTTGGCATTGTAATCTTCAATAAGAAAGCTGTTAACAAATTGTGGAAATAAGACCGAAATAATGGTGCTGGTGAGAGATTTTGTTACAGGATTATTGATCGGTGCAGTGAGGGAACAACAACACAGAGCTTGTGGATGCTTCCTCATTAACGAGATTTGCTGGTGTGGGTGGGAAAGTGTAACGTTGAAGCCTCTTTTGCTTTGTCTTACAAATGCTTTTTGCAGTAATTTCCACTAGGAGGAAAATATAAAGCAGTGATGCCATGAGTACAGCTACAATATTCAAAGAACAACCCAAAATCTCTTTATAGCGAGAGTGTCCTTGCATATTTTATTTGAAGAGGATGAAGAAGGGTTCCTGCCAGGGAGAGAGAATGCTATATTTACTGTTATAATCTGTGCCCCAAAGTCATAGGGACTCGCAGCGATCCCTGAAGAGGCTCTGTAGTAAGAGCTGCCCACGTCTGAAACGGTGAGCAGCAGTCCGGCCTGTCATTTTAGTGGAAGTCTTGTTCCTAAGCTCCCGCTCAGGCTTTTCTGAAGCATTCAGAAGCTCGTCTCAGGCTCGTACCCTGCAGCAAGTATACAGATCTGGCAGATTTTTCCAGCTGCCTCGTCGTGCCAGGCTGTTACCCCACGTAGGATGTCCCGGGAATATTTAAAACACTAGTGGGCTCGCTGCTGCTGCAGATGTAACGGCGGAAAGGGCTCCAGAGCCGCTCTCCTAGCCCCTGCTAGCTGAAGCCCACCCAGCTTTGGCAGGTGAAACTCTATTCAGGAATGTAGTTTGGTTGGTTTTTCTTTTTTTCCTCCCACCAAAATACTGTTTTTAATCACCGCTCCTTTTTAGGGTGCGGCGTTGCTGCAGTTCAGCAACAGTTCCTTCCTCAAATAGATCCTTTCGGGCAGGGCTAAACAGCGATATTTTATTGTACGTAATGAAACATTAATCCTAGGCTGCGGTGTCCGCTATTTTGGGTTCAGCGGAAGCTCAGCTCGCTGCGCTCTTTGGAAATGTACGGAAAGAGATTTTTTTTTTTTTCTGGCTGCACCAAAAAGTAAAGAAATGTTGCAAAAGCCAGCTTCCACTAGATGGCATTGGAGCCATGCCTGGTGGCCAAAGCCCTGAGCTGTCGCTCCATCACCCTCTCTGCCTCTTTTTGTCCCTTTTTTTTCCAGGCTGAAAATGTAATTTGTTAGAACTTGGAGCACTGGTTACTTCGGAGGTGAAGTTATTAAAACATTTCAATTTGTCTTCCTGAAACCCTTCAAATAAGTCATGTTTCTGCTCGAGGAAGACAACTGTGGTGTAGCAGGGAGGCTGTTACCTCATCTGAAGTCAAGATTTCGGGTCCTAGTGGAAAATAACCAAAAAATTCAGGTGACGAGGCAGGTCTGCCTGACAATGAATGACACGGGCTTTGTAACTGGAGCTCGTGAGCCAGGCAAGCTGCTCGCCTCTCCTAGCAATTAATCTAAATGCTGAAATGAGAGAAGCGAGACTCTGGAAAGCCATATGCATCAGGTCACTTCAGTAATAAAACACTTTTTTTTTGGAAGGGGAAAATGCCAAGCTGAAGGTGTTACTAATCCTGAAAGGGAGGAATTGAGCATCCTTTTGTGGCATCTAGCTGCCTTGCTAGGGAAAGGGGTACGGATGGATGGAGGTCCCGAAATAAAACATAAATTCCGGAGATGCTGCTGGGCTAGACGCGATGCATCGGGGACGTGCGGTCTTTGAAGGGGTCGGGAAGGTTTAGTTTGCAAAGGGATTAGCGTACGGCTGCAATGTCTGCTGATGATCCAGCTCTCAGGCTGCCTAGAAGCTTTCTGCAGCCCCCTCCTAACGTGCGGCGGAGTCCAAAGCGACAGCACCGCCGGAGGCAAGGGTCGTAAACTTACAGGAGATCTACGTTGGGGTTTTTGGCAAGGCGCTGGGCTGTACGTCTCCTCGGGGGTCTCGAGGCAAGCTTCGCGAGCATGGTCAGTGCTGGGAGCAGAGAGTAAGGGTTCCCTCTGTGCCCGGGGGCCTGTCGCCTCCTGGCCTTCCCTCGCAGGCATCTTGTCCTTCTGCTGAAGCTTTTGCTGAGAGTCTCCCGGTGAGACTTTGACCTGTTGGTAACAGTAAAACCTCATTATTTCGGCTGGGGTGGGCAAGTTTCTCTGCTCTAACTTCTGTCACAGGAAATCAGGCAAAAATACCGTCTCCCTTGAGCCCCCCTGTAGCAGGCTGGTCTCTCTCCTCTTGGCTTGAATTATTCTGGCTGAGCACTTGTGCTGCTTTTTCCTTCTGCCCCGCCGCAGAGCTGCGGTAGTTCTGCTCGTGAGTCCCCGTGCGGGGTCCTTCCTCTGAGCACCTCTGGCTTTCCTGAGCCTGGATCACTAAACCTCCTGAAACTCAGCGACGTGGAGACCGGAGCCTTAAGAGCAGTTCTTATCTAGGTCATGACATTATCCACGCGTACCTTGTAAATTATTTAGCGCAGCTTGTAACGCACACCGCGTCCATTCCCCCTGTGTACCTGGAGGGCACGCGAGGCTGGAAGACGAACGTCCCCTTGTGCCAGTGAGTCTGCAGAACAGATTTCCTCTGCCTTTTGGGTCCGCAGCTCTCCGAGTGTCTTTCCTTACTGCAGTGATGCCCGTAGGATCTGAACAAACCCCCCTGTTTAAAAAAGACAAAGTCTGTGTACATGCATGTGTGAATGAGTTGTTTTGAATCATCTTCTGGGACTAGATGAAAACAAACACCCCCCTGCAAGTTATTAATTGGTGACTTTGTTGTTTGCCTGGAAGCTGTCTTCATTTGAGGCTTGCTTGCTCAGAAAGCTCTTCCATTCGTTGCCGAGCTTAATTGAACTTTCTGGTGTCTGCTCTCTGCAGGTCAGATGCAGAAACCTTTTGAAGATGCCTCATTTGCGCTGAGGGCTGGTGAGATGAGCGGACCAGTTTTCACAGAATCAGGGATCCACATCATCCTACGCACAGAGTGAAGTGCCTTGGTGACATGTAGAAAGGAAAGGGCGAGGGGAAGGAAGGAAAAAAAAAAAACAAAACAAAACAAAAAAACCCAAACCAAAACCTACTCCAACCCTGCACTCTCCCAGATGAACTTCATATCCAGTTTAAAAACAAAAACATAAATAAAAGCTCATTTCATATCTCAATATCTTCTGTGGCACCTGACACAATGTTTTTCACCTGCAGAGATGCATGGTTAGCCAAGGGTGAGAACGCAATCAAAATAAGACAGTAGCATCCTTCATAAGCAGAGAGAATGTTAAAACCACCATTTCTGGCATGCCACAGCTGCTTGAGTTATATTGACATGTCTCCTAAGCCGAGGAATTGTCAATGCTAAAGGTCACACTCCAGTGCTTCCCACATCCACCCTGTTAGAGGCGCCGAGTATTTATTGCAGCGCAGCACTGACGATGGCCAAGCTGACTTGAGAACTCTGGTGCTATGACGGAATGAACTCCCCAACCCTCTGCATGTTTGTTTAGACACGTTTTAATCCGAATGAACGGTATTTGCTCGGCAGTCCAGTCCGTTGGTTTGTAGAACTGATTTACTAAAGCCATCCATAAATTGACCGTGAGATATCAAACGATGAGCCAGCTTAGCGTGGGGCACCCGTCCCTCGGTGTCCGTCCGTAGCTTCCCTAAACGCAGCTGTCTCAGCGAGGATCGCCCCTCTGTCCCGTCACGCGGTGGCACCGGGGGCTCTCTCTGCTCCTGCCATTGCTTTGACTCTCAAACTTGAAGATGCCTTTTGGTTCCGAATGCAAACGAGAGAGGCTAACGGCCAGTAGTTGCCACTGCAGGAAGATCGGTAGCCAGCCCGAGCTGCGTAGCGGTACGTAGGATGCTGTGTGCTTCCCATTCCAGCCTGAAGTCACTCCATTACGTAGACGTGACAGTGCCATTCTGTAGGGCAGGCTGTGTTGTGGATTTTCAGTTTTAGCTAGAAGGCTGTTTTTTTTTTTTTTCCCTCGAGCTCCTCTGGATCCACTTGTGGTTTAAACACTGTAAGTCATTGTTTTCCAGTTACACCGCATTGCTTCTGTTTAGCGAAATAAAAACGGGAAGAAAAAAAAAAAAAAAAATCCCAGCTTTGGTCCAGTGCAAACCAGCTGTATAGTTCCAGTTCTCTTAAGCAGAAAATAAAGCCCTCTCCAATTAAACATTTCAAGAGCTCTGGTATTGATTATTTCTCCTCCTTCGCCTATAGAGGTCTTGTTGCTTCTATTCGAACAAACAAAAACCTCTGCAATGTATGCTGAGTTGGCTCTCACGGGGGGTTTGGGGTTTTTTTTTGTTGTTTGTTTGTTTTTTAATAATCCTAAAATGGAAATGTGCCTTGCATGGTCTTAAGAAAAACTTCTCCAAATTTGTCTTAAGCTAATATTCTTTATTCTCTGTTGTCACTGGCTTCTCCTGCTTTGTGTGGAGTTGATGTCTTCTTTCCTAAGAGCTGTATAAATCCTGGTATGAGGTGTTACTCCAGGCAAGGTAAAACCAGACCTTCGAGTGCCATTTAATAACTACTTTCTACCTCTCCTCAGTTCCGCAAATCTAGCTGTTCCGCTTGTGGTATGAAATCAGCCATTACGGAGAGTGGCTCCTCGGTGCGTTGGGTTGGGTTATTTTTTTTTTCTAAAAAGGCAACATCTCCTCCGTACTCTCTGCAATTACGGTGATCGCCAAAACATCTGAATATTGCTTGCGGTTCTGCTTTTTGCTGGTTGTGCTGGGGAGGTGGAAGGCTCCCGCGCATCGGGTAGAAGTTGGTTTCCATAGCTACCCATCGATTTAAAAAAGAAAAAGAAAAAGATCCAGCTCAGGGCGACAAGCAGGTGAGGACTTCAAAAAGAAAAATTGCCTCAAATAGCTGTGTGGTATCACGAAAGCGGGATCAAAGGTAAATAAAGGCAAGCAGAGATGCCACCTCTGCCTGGAAACGTGGCAAGACAGCAAAAGCAGCGGCAGCTAAGCGTCTCCGTGGCTGGAGCGGTTCCCCGCCCGCCGCTCCTGCTGCGGCGGGGTGATCCCGGTACCGCGTCCCGATCTTCCTCAGAAGGTGGGAAGCAGGGTGGGGATCGCCTCGGCGCAAGCTAAAAGGTTGACGAGATGGCGGTGAGAGAGAGAAGGTGGAGAATTTTGGGGTGGGGTTTCAGATGCTACCAGGGGTTTTCTGTTCTTGTCCTAGGCGGCGGGTTTGTAAGGGGGGAGGACCTCGCAGCAGCAAGCTGCGGGGCTGCGTGAGAAGGCGCTGGCTTCTAAAAAGTGCTCGTTGGCGGCTGGGGATGTTGTTTAGCATATTTACTACCGCTGAAAGTGCCCTAAAGCATAAGGCTTCTGGGGCGCAGCTGTACATTGGGGTCCAAGCGGCCGCCCAGGGAATAATAAATGCCCTTGGGACGCCCCGCCGGTGTTGCTCAAGGTGGAAACCGCGTAGGAAGTGGGTTTAATGGCTCTCAGTTCTCCGCGTAGTTGTGAATTGGCCGTATCCAGCCCTGCACTGTGCCGAGGAGAGCTATTCCGTGGTGCTGGGCAGCGGCGTATCGATAGCTGGCGTTGCGTCCAGCGATGCTGTTTTGGCTTGGCCCTTCCATTTCCCGGCAGCGAGACCTTGCTGAAACGCTTGGCAGCGCAAGCGCGGGGAGGGTGGGGGCTTCTCCCGAGGCTCCGCTCGCGGCTTTGGTGTCGGTTGCCCCAGGATTTGGGTTCAGCTCCCCCCAGAAACCAGCGCACCGTCCTGGGTCCCGTTTCCCTCTTCGCAGAGGTCATAAACGATGAGCTGCTTTGGTCTCCTGCCCTTTCCCCGGGGGAACGCGCGCTTGTTGCTGCGCTCAGCGAGCATCTGCGATACAGTAACCTGATTTGGCGTGCTGTCATGGCCTGGATTCGGGTCCCTTCCTGGTACCGTTCCTGGGTGAGATCTGGAGCAGCACGGCTCCGTCTAGCCCCGTTCCTGCAGGGGACCCTGGCTCGGTACTCCAAACGCGTGTCAACCCTTGGACTCCGTCACTGGAGCGGTGACACTAACAGTAACCGCTTCTGACTGTATCGTGTTTGAAGCCTTCACTTCTCCAGAAGGATCGTTTAAGGGATTTCTCCTGGTTTCTCTCCAGGGCCTGAGGAAGAGGCTGTCGCATCCCAGGAGAGCAGGAGCCAGGTTGGAGGCAGGTCTGGGGCTGTCGCAGGAGAAGGATGCTTTTCTCCAGCTCTCTCAGCCCGGAGTTGTGCGGTATCGAGGAGGCCGAAGGCAAGAAACAGGCAGGCAGGGAAGGGGTAGCCCCCCTGCCCGTGCTCCCACCCCGAGACCAGGCTCAATCCTTATTTTCTGCCTGCCAAATCCGCGGTGCATTACGCACGCCCGCGGAGAGGGCAGCCTGTGCTGGCTGGCTATCGCCACGCTGCAGGAGATTGCATCCATCTCTGTCAAGCGCCGTTATTAAAGCAGGGCTGCGAGACTCCGGGCTCCTGTCCTCAGGCTGGTGATACAGCAGCTCCCCGCTTCCAGCCCTGGAAAGGGCTGGGGAGGGAACTGGAGCCGTGTCCGAATCCCATTAAAAATGCACCTCTCTCACCTATGGAGAGGTATAGGCTGATGTGCGTGGATATAGGGGAGACAGGGAAGCTCGTATACGCAGCCTGCTCTTTAGGGGCTGCGGCGAAGCTGCCCCACGTGGAAAGATGAGCAGTTCTCCTTGTGCTCAGAAGGACACAGAGGATGCTCACGGTTGGCATTTCTGCCCCAGAAGAAATCATAAGATTTTTGGAGGGGGGGGGGGAGAAGAAAAGGTTCCTGGGTGCGCTGTGGAGCGGTGAGCGATATTCTGGTTAATGGACCAAAGTCTGGACGTGGTTAAACCGAACGGTCGGGTTGGGATGAGGTTCTGGTGGTGGTGGTGTGAAGGGAGAGGAGGTTGAAGTGGTGTTTGTCGGGTGTG